ACGAGGCGGCGCTTGGGGTGAGAGCGGGTTTATTTTGTCACTGGGAGCGTTTTATTTAATTAAAAAAAAAATAAGGCGGAAAGATTTCTCAGCATGAAGGCAATTTAGTAACTTTTTCAATGATACACCCCGCGTTTATTTTGCTAACATCATGTTTCGGGGCGTGCTGTGGAGCTAAGGTTGGATTTGTGTACAACTGAGGGTTTATGCTGCGACGCATTTATCCAGAATATTGTGTATTTACACATCACAGTACCAGCATTTGGTTTTGAGCAGTTTGTGCAGAGAAAAATAGTCGTGTCCAAGAGGTTTTGTCTTCTTCTTTATATGCTTGTGTCTTCAAAGAGACTGAAATTCGCTTGCTAGGGATAAATCAGCAGTGGTGCTGTGAAGATCTACAGTAGTTTATTTAAGATCTGTGTTTCAACACAGCAGAAGGTTAGTCATCTCAGGAGACATCCTGGCCCCGCTGTGTGCAACAGCAAAACTTCCACCGACTCCAACAGAGCCAAGAAGTGGAATCAGCAGATTGTTCAGATGAGAAATTGGGTAAAACACAAACCTCAGCAACATGTGTTTTTCTTCTACTTCCATTCTGCTGTATTTTGAAACAGTAGTTGTACCTGTATTTAAGGTACAAATTTAAGGAGAGTCCATTTCTATGTGGAGTCCAGGACCTGTAACTTTTATGTGTTATTAAACATAGTCTCCTTAATGGAAGGCAGACAAAGATGATCAGAATGCCAGAGGAAAGGATGCTTTTTTCAATAATACAAGGAATAGATGGATAATCCAAATCAGGATGGCAGGTCATGCTCTCTCAGAATCTCCAAACGGGAGTTTCGCCAGCATATGCTTTCTGCCAGCCATTTCACAAGAGAGACTCTCTTGACTTGCTCAAGCCTCCACACCTTATTTCTCAAAATATCAATTTGTAAAGACAGCTGTAACTGTCTTCAGGCATTTTAATGGTCCAAAAGATCACAACTGAGCACCTTTTCCTGGAAGAAATAAACATTCCAGAAGATTAATCCTTGCATCTTTTTAGGTCGCAGTTTTTCACAACTACCTTACAACTGGCAGGAAATGGCCAATTCCTTGGCAGGACAAATTTAAACCAGTCAAGGATGTTGTTTAAGTAGGACTTTGGAACTGGGTAGAGTTTTTATTAACTTTGTAATGTTAAGGAATGTTTTTAGTTATGAAAACCATCAGAGATCCTTGTGGAATAAAAGGTACAGATAGGACTGTGTCTTTTATTTAGATGTCAATCCACTTCCAGCTATTCCCAAAAGAAGCTAGAGATAAGGACACAAAATGCAGTGTAACATTGGTTTGTTAAGACTGGATTTTTGTTGAAAATTTACTGATAAAATTGAGTTTTATTTTGGTCACCAAAAATAGTCAGTTCCACTGGTCAAGTTCATCTTTTTCTTCTGCCTTTCCACCTTCACCTCCATCTCCAGAAATCTGCTTGCACTCTTTTTCTCCCCAGATTTGAGTCCTGTCTCCGTCCCTCCATGAAATTTTGCCACTTCAGCCTTTCTTTTAAGTCTCTCCATTTCTCAGGACCATGGCAGGTTAGTAAGGCTTAGAATCATTAGGAAGCGTCTACAAGAGTCTTGGCGCAGAGGCCAACCTGAAGACAGGCATGCAAGTCAAGATTTTGGATTTCTAGGAAAAGTTAACAATACAGTTTCCTGGTCTCCCCTTTTCACTTACACAACTGTTTGGTTTATATTAGATCATGTTTTGTGAGTATAAGTAAATAGTATCTTCTTTCCAACAGATGGGCATCTATGCTCTGCAATAGTTTATTCTAAACTTAAAAGGGTGATAAAGAAATGATTGCTTGAATACATGTCAGAAGTGATGTTGCTGGAGTAACTTCTGTTCCCAGGTTAAAATCATTGCCTCTCTTGCCCATCCTGTTACTTAGTTCCCTTATTTTTACAAAATATCACAGGCTTCCCTGTAATATATATGGCTATTTCATAATGGTAATGGCCATGGTTTCGTAATCTCTGTAATTGACCTGCATTAAAATTATGTCTAGTTCACTCTACAAGGCCACATATAACTGCGCTTTTTCAAACCTCTCTTCTGCTTTTTCTGTGAATAAAGTCTGCTTGCTATGTTCATCAGAGTACGCCTGTTGGCTCAATATGACTTTTTGCTAAGGAAAAGCAGGCACAACTAGTCTCTGCGTCTTTGATGCTACTGAGAGCACTGAGTAGTATTTGCACAGTTCTCTGCAATTACAGTTGAAGAAACTTCACCAAAATGAGTAGATGTGCAGCCAGGTGAAAACAAGGGTAAGAAACTGAGACTAGAAGCTCGTGTGTTGAAGTCCACACAAACAACTTTTTTCTTTTTTCTTCTCTTTTTTTCCCCCAGAAAATAATTTTGTGAGGCATAAGAGACCTAGCAGAATCCCACTTTAAAGGGGCAAAATTTCCACTGACATTCTAAAAAACTGAGATTTTTTTCCCCTGTATTTGTTCCCAGGCGATATTGTTAGGCTGTTTTCTATGGAACATGGGACAGATTTTTTAGCAAACCAGATTGATATTTCCTAAATTATTTGCAGGTAGTTATGCTTTTTCTCTAGAAGTTTGATTTTACCTGTGAGCAAATATTTCAGGACAATACTGCAAGCAAGTAAATCCATCTTTCAGGTCCCAAAAGTGTGTGGTGAGTGCAAGCAGTACAATGAGACGAAATATCTAACATGAGCACCTCACTGTAGGTGGCTCTCCTGACAGGTACTAGGGGAGAAGGCACCTTAGCCTTCCATTCTCCTTTGTATGACTTCGTGTCACAAAGGCATTGGGGAAGGAAGAGTCCAGGACCACAACTGCACTGAGCCCTTGCAGCTCCATTTCCACTGCTCCCTGGCAAATGAAGAAGGGAGCTGGGACAACCTGGGTCTTCCTCTGTGGTGTGGTCTTCATGCACGTACTGGTGTAAATACCCCTCACTTTGCATAACCCCCTAAATGCTCCCAAGCAGGCTACTAGGATAAGATCTAGCCAATGCTTTATTAGAGGAGGGGCAGCATGGCCTAAAAGTGACTCTGCTCTAAATAACCATGCTCCCAAAAATCAGCTGCTTAGACATTGCTGTAAAATCTCTGTAACCTAGGGACAACCTCTAATACAGTGGTAAAGCCTAGTGAAATACAGCATTTCGGTTGCCAATTTCATTGTACAGTAGTGATAAGGAGCAATCAGCTGGTTTTGTTTCATCAACCTGCAGTTCCATTGGTCTTTCACTTACCTGCTGCTTGTTACCTAGAGAGAAACTTACGAGATCCATGCCCAGCTGGGAAGACCAGGCGATTGCAGTAGGTATCTACAAACCTTATCGTAAGGCCTCTGCTCTTTAAGTACTCTGAGGCAGCAGGCTCTAACGCTTTTTGTAGGCACATGAGTTTTAGGGATTATTCAACATAAGTTGAATTCTAGACCACTCTGAGCTGTTTAATAAATTTGTGAAGAATAAAAGCAGTTTCATCAATGATGCAAGGAGTGTGGGACTCTGGCTTGGATTGCGTATCCGCACAAGCTGGTTCAAATGCCTATGAGTCCTTAATTAGAGGCAGAGAATTAACAGGGACCTGTCCATCCTGTGGCATCACCTGGTACCGTGGGTGACCTAATACAGATGTGGTACCCACTTGTGGCTGGTGGCCTCAGCACAGCATCATGACTTGTGTCCTGCTCTCCCTTCAACCCATCAGTTGCACAAGAGGTGGGAAGTAGCAGTCCATTATAGGGCTGGGTAATGTGTGTCACAGCCCCACAGCATGGACCTGCAGAGGAGGAGATGGGCAAGAAGGTCATCCGCCACCACTTCGTATCAGAGTCACACCCTCGTTGTTAAAAATGGTCATGAACAACTACAGAAAGGATCAGAAATGAAAAATATTAAATTCAATGCTGAGAGGTGCGAAGGGTTGTATTAAAAAGGAGAGCTCAAGTGCCAGAGCACGTCATGAAAAGCAACTGACTGCAGAGCACATCCACAGGAGAGAGTTTCACCTCCACTCTTCTTTTTGCAGCAGGGCTCAGGTTTGATCTCACTGCCCTGCTGAGCAGTGACACATACTGGCTTAAATGGCTGCAAGAATCTCTTCAATCCACTATGTATCAAAACTGAATAGGAGTCAGGAGCATGGCACTGCTAACAAGAAATTGAAATCTTCTCTATTGAATGGCATGTATTCCTTATCTATTTCACTATGCGAAGTTCTGAGCCCAGTTCTAAGCAGGGCATTTACTTATATATAGACTATATAAAAGTAAAGAAGAGCAACTAAAATAAAAGGTATCAGCATAGCAGTATTTTTAGAATATGCAGCTGAGGTGACTGGAGTGTTCTGGATTTTGCTTTGAACCGAAGAGGAGCTCAAGGACCTTCCTAGAGCTCCGCTTTTATGCTTCCATGGTAAAACTATCATGCTAAAACCATGTAGGGCATTGAGGGGAGAAAAAGATTAAGTGTGCTTAATATTTTGATACACAATATTGAACTTTAGCAAGACCTCAAACCAAAAAGTATTAACACAAGCCCAGTAAACAGGCATAACTAATGTTTTACGGCTCACGAAACAGAAACATTAGTCCAGATACCTTCTGTAAGAATGCAACAGTCAGCAATATCAACTTGTCAGAACAATCGTCACAACCTTCAAATGCAGTATTTCATACCATGAAACCCAAGAGTTGAGACCGAAATTTGGGAGTTGCTGGTTCCCTTTCCCATGTATAATACAGCAGAACTGTTTTCTGTGGTCATCAAGGATTTCTCAATGGTTTTAAAATACTTCAATCAAAAGCAAGTTAGTTAAACAATTGAAATATAGACCTTTTAGATGGAACTAGGAATATTGGTCTTGTTTGCGCTGGTTTTAGTTAATGTAATTCTAGACAAATAAGTGGGGCTTAGTTTTTGCTTTATTTTGCTTTTCCTAATTTCAAATAGTTTATCATTTTCACTGGTTAAAAAATAAGTCATCTCCTTTTGCATCCTACCCCCTTATTTTTCTTTTTAATGAAGGAGTGGAAAAAAACAGAAAGAAAATAGGAAAATAGTGAAAAAGCTTTTATTAACTGTTTTTCCATATGTATGTTTGCACTTGATGTGGTTTAGTTCAGAGTTTGTAACAGTAAAACCAAGAAAAGGAGATAAAGACTTTTCCAGAAGAGAATCCAGGGTTAGATCACTGGTTCCATATCTGAGGAAAAGTCTGAATTTTTGTTTTTGCTAAATATATAGCTATTCTTTGGGAACTAGTGGGTGGTCAGCACTTGAAGTTCCAAAAACCCATATACACAAGAAAAATAAACTTTTTTGTGTCTTTGTTGGCAAAAAAAGAAACCAATGGGGTTAGCCTGATTGTGTGCTTTTTTTAAAGTAAGAGAACAGTGGAGTGTTTGCCCTGTAAATTAAAAAAAGAAAAAAGAAAAATACATTTCTATGAGAAATTCCTCAGCCTCGAGGCTCTTTCTTATCTTACAGATATTTTTCATAGTTTTCTAAATCATTACAACTGCCCTCATCCTTTTATTCCATTACTTGTATCCCATGCATCAATCCTTTCTGAACTGCCAAGAGAAGTTCTTGCAGAGTGATTCAAAATGCCGTGTTCCCAGAGACGACTCATTATCTCAGAAGGATTTTTAGTTGGAAGAATTAGAACAGACTCAGGCAGAATTAGGCCTACAGCTGGTTTTCAGGATTCGCTATAATTTTTCAGTAAATATGTTATTTTAGTGTGCACAGGCCAACAAATCTGATTTGTGAACTTCTGCTTCAGATTATTAGGAAGGCTCTAACAGAGGAAAAACAAGTGTCCACGAAGACATCTGCAGCAGATCTTGTGACAGAAACTGATCATTTTGTGGAAAATTTAATTATTTCTGTTCTGAAAGAGAAGTTTCCCTCCCACAGGTGAGTACCTATAGAAAGAAACTATCAATGACCTTTTTCCTTTAAGAGCTGTATATCTGACTGGCATTTAAAGGGAATTTAAATTTAAAGTCTATATATCTCTCTTACATATTAACCTATTGCTGTTGGACACTTTTATAGGACTCCTCTTTTAAAAGTACCACTTCCCTATAGTTAGTACTTTATATTTTCTAATAGTTATGTTTCTTATTTTATGTATTTAATACTAATGTTTCCCCTGTAGGGACATCATGTATGAAGGTTTCATATGGATCTCCATGGATTTCAGAATACTGATCTGTTCTCTGTTGCATAAGAATTATGCTAAGGATATCTATTAAAATATAGATGAAATTAGTGACAGCAAAAGTCACATCCTGCAGACCTTTTATTCAGTTTCTTTTGCCATCACACATAAGCATTTGCCGGATCAGGACAAGTATCGTATTTAATCACATTTACCTTTTGTTATACAGAATCCTAAAATCAGTGAGAATCAGGATTGTTTATCATCATAATTATTTTATGTTTATACATAAGCAGGATATAAATTAGTATATTGTGTGTCAGCCTAAAGTTTTAAAAATAGATCAGATTGCTGACTCCTTTTGAATTATTACACTCAATTTGAAAATAACAACTCCTAGCACATGCACAGATTAGAGGGAGCTTTGTATTAGTTGGCTTGGTTTGGTTTGATGCAGACACTCAGCAATCGATTTCCACATTTGACTTCAGTCCACAAGGATAAAATTCATCTTCCTGCAGAGCCTGTGTGTCCTTTAAATACTGTATGACTTCCTTCTAACTGTGTGCATCTCTGATGGAGATTAGCCTTGCACTTTAGCGCTGCATAGAAATCAACAAAGTTGAAAATCTGGATGGCTCAGCTACTAATCTGATTGTCAGCAGTGCTGCTGGAAAAGAAAAAAAAAACATAAGAAGGAGTATCAAGAACATCATATACTAAATATGGCTTTCTAAATACGTGTTGTATGTGATCACATATTGAAGCAGTACTGTACAGCATAATGTGTGGTTCTTGGCCGCGATTCTCAAGACAGTGCCAGGCTTTACAAGCCTATTATTTGTGTAATAGTCCTTCTACTATTGCTGGCTGTGCTCTTTTCTTGTCTCCACTCTTATGCTGGTTTTTTTTTTTTTTCTCTTGAACGCCTCTGCCCTTCCGGCAGAGAACATAAACCTCTCACCTTTCACATAAAATGAGAGTCATCAGAAGTACTCAGGTTACTTAGAATGAGAAAAAAAGTTGTAAGGTCAACATAGACCTAGAAATTGAGAAATCCCTGACTTTATTAAGTCTGTACAGTTAACATCTGACTTTATAAGCAAATGAAGGAATTGTCATTTCTTCAAGACAATTATTTTTTGCTGATATTGGTTGTTGGTTTTGGTTGGAGTTTGTTCAGACAGTCAATGCATTTAGATTAATCATAGAGTCATAGAATGGTTTGGGTTGGAAGGGACCTTAAAGATCATCTAGTTTCGATGTCCTGCCATGGGCAGGGACACCTTCCTACCAGACCAGGTTGCTCAAAGCCTCATCCAGCCTGGCCTTGAACACCTCCAGGGATGAGGCATCCACAGCTTCTTTGGGCAACCTGTGCCAGTGTCTCACCACCCTCACAGTAAAAAAATTCTTCCTTATATCTGATCTAAATCTACCTTCTTTCAGTTTAAAGGCATTACCCATTGTCCTATCACTACATACCCTAGCAGTAAATACCTCTTCAGCTTTCTTGTAGCCTTCCTTTAAGTACTGGAAGGCTGCTTATATGTCTTCGTGGAGCCTTCTCTTCTCTAGGCTGAAAAACCCCAAACCTTTCAGCCTGTTCTTGTATGGGAGGTGCTCCAGCACTCTGACCATCTTCATGGCCCTCCTCTGGACCTGCTCCAACAGGTCCATGTCCTTCTTATGTTGTGGGCCCCAGAGCTGGACGCAGTACTCCAGGGGGGTCTCACAATAGCAGAGTAGAGGGGCAGAACCACCTCCTTCGACCTACTGGTCATGCTTCTTTTGGTGCAGCCCAGGACACAGTTGGCTTTCTGGGCTGCAAGTGCACATTGCCAGCTCATGTTGAGCTTCCCATCAACCAACACCCCAAAGTCCTTCTCCTCAGGGCTGCTCTCAAGCCATTCTCTGCCCAGCCTGTATTTGTGCTTCGGATTGCCTCAACCTGGATGCAGGACCTTGCACTTGGCCTTGCTGAACTTCATGAGGCTCACACGGGCCCCCCTTCTGAAACCTGTCAAGTTCCCTCTGGATGGCATCCCTTCCCTCCAGCATTTTGACCGCACCACAAAGCTTGATGTCATCGGCAAACTTGCCGAGAGTGCACTCAGTCCCACTGTCCATGTCTCTGACAAAGATGTTAAACAAGGCCAGTCCCAATACCGACCGCTGAGGAATGCCACTCATCACAGGTCTCCACTTGGACACTGAGCTGTTGACTGCAACTCTTTGAGTGTGACCATACAGCCAGTTCCTTATCCACTGAGTGGTCCATCTGTCAAAGCCATGTTTCTCCAATTTAGAGACAAGGATGTCGAGTGGGACAGTGTCAAAGGCTTTGCAGAAGTCCAGGTAGACGGTGTCATTCTTCCCTTATCTGCCAACACTGTAACCCTGTTGTAGAAGGCCACCAAGCTTTTCAGGCACAATTTGCCCTTAGTGAAGCCATGTTGGCTCTCACAAATCGCCTCCTCCTTTTCCATATGCCTTAGCATACTTTCCAGGAGGATCTGCTCCAGGCACAGAGGTGAGACTGACCAGCCTGTAGTTCCCTGGGTCTTGCTTATTTCACTTTTTAAAATAGGGGTTATGTTTCCCCTTTTCTAGTCAGTGGGAATTTCCAGACTGCCACAACTTCTCAAATATGATGGACAGTGGCTTAGCAACTTCATCCACCCATTCCCTCAGGACCCACGGATGCATCTCATGAGGTCCCATAGACTTGTGCACCTTCAGGTTCCTTAGATGGTCTCGAACTTGATCTTCTCCTACAGTGGGCAGTTCTTCATTCTCCCAGTCCCTGCCTTTGCCTTCTGCAACTTGGGTGGTGGGGTTTTGAGCCATTGCCAGTGAACACTGAGGCAAAACAATCTATTAATCTATTAAACAATAGATTAAAACTATATTTAACTAGATTAGATTAAAATACTTTCAATGAGGAGTCCACAATAGCAATCAAGGTTTAAATTAAAGTGCAATGAAAACATTAAAAGGTCACTTAAATTGTCTTCAGTCTTTTCCCTAATCTGGATATTGAAAGCATCAATGAAGATTTCTGTTATTTCTCTTTCTCTTAAATTATCTTGATTCTTATTTTCTCTGAATAAAAAAAATGTTTCCCAGGAGTTAGAAAAATTAAAGAGGGTCTCATTAAAATCTGTGGCATTTTCACTATGGCAGTGATGAGCCTTGAGATGTCAGAAATGTACTCGGAAGTGAAGAGAAATGTCAGGAAAACCTGTTATAAATGTAATTCTGTCCCATGTTTGTTTCATCTTCTCTCTGTTGGCCAAGTAATATGTATCATCCTCATTCGTGCTTCACTCAAGTTTTCGTCTTTGCTCACTCTCTTCAGCACTCTGACATGCTCCAAGTGAGTCTTTTCACAAGGATACTTCTCCTGGTAGATCTTTGAGGTGTAGAGAAGCACAGCCAGAATATCAGGGGCTACTGAAAAAAGCTATCGTACTATTTGCCTGTGTTATTGTTACACAAGTTCTCATCTTTGGTGTTAAGTGTGGCCTTAATCCTCTGGACATTAAAACCAGGACACAGCCATTACAGAGGGTGACATCCTGGCTTTCTGCACTCAGACCCCCATAAAGGGATAGGTGAGGGACAGCCCCGGTTTGAACCTCCTCCCCTCAACTGGGTATCACTTCTGCTGCAGTTTGTGCTATGCTACAGTTTTCCTGCTGTTCCAGCAATGAATTTCAGAGTGGCTCTGTGGTATGAACAGATGTCCACTAAGGCTTGGCTGAAATTACTGGACTCATTTTCAGTGGGAGAAAACTTTAATCCAGATTTGAAGAGAGGTCAACAGAGCTGTCAGGTTGCCATATTAAATTAACTACTGTAATATGGCTACCCATCCCACTTCTCAAGCTGTTCCTAAAATTTGGTCTCCAGTACTTCAGCCTGAATGTTTTGCTTAGTTTGCATGTTTTTATAGGACAGAGGGCCATAGAGCAACGCATCTGATATTGGGCTTGAGGGACTCTCACGGCACCCAGTATTGTATAACAGCAAGGTGCTTATTTTAGCCCAAATTTCGTAAAACGTGCACATAATTTATCCTACATCCATTTTGGAAAAATTGCTCTTGGACATCAAGACTTTGTCAGTGACACTGCTGTGCCCTGGCTTCACATGGCATTTCTGTACATGAGGACTGCAGCGTTGCACCCCACTGTAAGCAGAAGGCGAGGGACAGACTTACTGTACTTGAGGGCAAACACCTCACCCAGAAATACTCCTGTCTTTAAAGAGGTTCCCATTTCACCTTTCTTTGACTGGTGAGACAATGGCTACAGTTTGGGCTCTGGCTGGGGGAGCTGGCAGAGGGTTGAAGCAGAGTCATAATTTACAGGGGAAGATGGATAATCTGAGATGGGGTGTAAGGTGCTCTATCTGCAAGAAGATGAGCTTCCTCTGCAGCCAGCAGCGCAGCTGAAGTGTATGGTTGGGTTTAGGTGCTAACTGCAAGATTTGTAAAAGCAAGAGTCAAATGATACAGCACCAACAAGACAAAGCAATGGAGTATTTAGAGCAAGGGGCCTGCAAAGTATTATGTTTGACTGAGAATTTCGAACACTTGTTCAAGTCTTTCTTGCTTCTCAGTTGCACAGTAACACTGTCCTTCAGCTGTTATCTTCAATAGAGATTAAAATAGTAACAAACACTTCCTACTTCTCTCTTCATACCAACTGGGGGCCCCTAATGCCATCAAAATAGTCCCTTTCTATTGAGGGCAAAGCAACGTAGCATTTGGAATGTTCGAAAAGTCTCCTGCTGTGGTGTCTGCAGAACACTTTAAGCTGGTGATGGTATGGTATCATGTGGCGCACGTTGAGGGCACAAAAGCAAATAGCTGCAACTCTAGTCCTAGGGAAGCAACTGTTTCTGCAAAAGACATTTTCTCTATATTTTGTCCAATTTTTTTCTCTTTGTGTCTATGAGAGGTTTTTCATCTTCAGGCATTTGCAGGAACTCTGAATACCTGTACCAGTTGTTCAAATGTGAAACCAAAAGCAAGATTCAGTACTAGCAGTCTGATTCTGCACCTTCTCTACATAAAGGACATTATTCAAATCAGTGAGAGTAACACCTGCAGAACGCTTATAGAAACAGACCCTGAACAGTTTATGGGAGAGTAGGG